ACCACTAAAATGATATCACAACAGCAATTCACTATGCTTCAATATTATCAATGTTCAAGCAATATTTGATATAACAACATAAAACATCGTTGAATTTTGGTGGCAATAATTGAGATTAAAGTTGGGCATGCTAACGGGTCTCCTACCTATAGTAATTGTGGCCGCTAAACTTAATTGTAGACCCTACACAAAAAGGTATTTGAGACATTAATCATTGTAATTTTCTGTTGTGCTCAATAATTCTCTCTGGTGTGCGTGAGTCCATAACTTCTCTACTAGACAATAGACTTTCTTTTTCTTTTTTTTTTTTTTTCTTTTTTTTTTAAGTACATGGACTTATTTGTGGTTGTTGTTATTTGAATAAAACGGATTTTCGTCCAGAATAATGCAAATACAAGTTCCGAATCAAATGATGTTCACATGTGTTTGAATTTTAATTATTTGTCCTTTGGGAGAGTGACATGACATTCATTATATATAATAATAGAGTAAACGGAATTATTCACACAGAAAATACACTAACTACCGTTCCATTTTTTATGTTTTATTTCATTTTGGTCAACATAGTTAATATGTTTAACTTGAATTTTTTTATTATTATTTTAACCCGAGCAACTCCAACCATAATAAACATTTCATATATTTAGTCAAAATGACTAATAATTTAGTTTTTTTTTTTTTTAATTTTCTCCACTCTAACCATTAGTGAAATTATTCTTTAGCTATTTTAGAAAATGCCTTTTACACTAGTTAAATTTAACTAACATGAGGAGGCTAGCTATTTTATTTTTTTTGATTATTTTATTCTTTCAAACCACAATAAAGTAAGGCTTTTTTTAATTCAATAAAGTTATTTACATTTTAAACTCAATAAATATTAAAATAATCTATGTTTAGCTAAAATAGAGAGTATGATTGGAGTGAATCATCCAAAATTTGCTTGTTAAAATAACTAGAAAGATATTTTAGTTAAAATTTAGCTAAAATAAATTGCTAGTTAATTTTAGCTAAAATTTAGAGAGTTCTCTTGAAAATACTCTAAGCATCCTAGGCTTGTGATTTACCTCTATCCTTTTATCTACAGATTGATTTGATCAGTGCTAAACAAAGGGTGCATTAATAATAATAGTAAAATAAGAAAATAAAATAAAGAAAAGAGGAACAAGGAGATTTAACGTGGTTCAACAGTATATCTATAACCACGAACTAAGAAAAGAAGGACAATTCACTAGTAAACAGCACTATAAAAGGGACTTCATATAAATAGACATTATAAAACACATAATCAGGTAAGTTATCTAAAATTAAAATAAAGAAACATCGTAAAGTTAATACTATAAATAAAGATACTTTCTCTAATATACTTTCTCTAATAATTAATCCATATTTGGTCCATCAAATAAATGTCAACTTGTAAAAGAATCTTACTTTTTTAATCGTTTTAATGTATTTGCTAAATGCTTGGAAATAATAATAATAATAATAATAATAATAATAATAATAAAACAAACTTTAGAACTAAAAATAAAAAAGTTATTGGAAAGTTTCTTGGTGGCGAGTGAGCAGTATTTTGTCCCAAGAGGTACACATCATAGCAAGAAATTGAGGTCATTTCATGGAATAATGGGATTCCCGTAGAAAAGAGAAGTTGATGATCGATCAAAGAGAAAGAATTGGATAAGAATAAAATAAGTGGAGGCTTTTTTTTCTTCTTTTATTATTATTATTATTATTATTTTTTTCGACATGCTTGAAAAGATTTTTGAGAGAAAACTTGAAAATGAGAGGAGAAGAGTTCGTCAACCCACTACTAAATAGCTTCGAAGAAAGAGTACTCCTTAAATTTCCCTTTTTATTTTGATGTGCATGTCGTTTACAGCTGCTATGCCATTCAATATGTATGGGCACCTTCATCATTATCAAAATATGGCTACCACTAATCCTTAATTATGTGTTAAAGAAAGAAGCTCAAAAGCACGCATTTATATTAATTGCTAATTATAGGCACACGGTTAATTAATCAACTTGGTGTCCTTTTTTTTTTTTTTTTGTTTAGAGGAAAAAACAAAAATCTAAAGAAAAGGACCCAAGTCCGAGAGTACAGAACTAGAGTGCCATCTAGGCAAATCAACTGTCCAACATCGAGAATCCGCTAAAAAGAACACAAATAACAGAAACGATAGGGCCATGAATACCATGAAAATTCCTCCCTTTAACGTCATCGATCACCTTGCTTGCATCAGACTCCGCCCAGCTCACCCGCATTGATAAACCCCAAAGCCCACACCACCACCGCTTCTCAGTTTTAGGGCCGGACGTGGAGGCTTCCAAAAACATCCGAACTCCAAGCTTTAAGTAAAGATTGACATCTCAAAAGTCTCTTTGGGACACCCTCTCCATCTCTCAGGAAAGTTCCGTTCTCTCAAGTCATGTCCGTTCATTTCACTGATTTGATATTAGAATTCGAGTTTGTTACAGTAAAAGTCTCTAAAAAATAATCACATTTAATTTTTTTGTTACAGTAAAAAGTTCTCATATAAAATCACATCTCAACTCGAATTACAAATTCAAATCAACGAACTAAACGGACTCTCAATGAATTCACCACTCATTTGACATCCAAAACGGGTCGAAAGCCCATCGCCTCAGGCCGGATCGAAGGAATAGAGACAAACAAATCGATATGGAATTGATTATAACTCTTGATATCCACATCAATGTTGGCATCCCATAAAACCATCAACCCTCCACTTCTCCCAAAAACTATTAACGAAACCAAGGCCACGCTTCAAAGAGACCGCTTTCCGCCCCCACAGGCGAGTTTCAATCAATTTGGTGTCCTAACTTTCTAAACTACATTAATTGTATGGAGCCATAATATGTACTTTTCTTTGTTTCTTCTATAGTTTGGTTGTTCAATTCTAGGAATTAAAATGTAACAATTAATCTATGTGTCTAATGTCTTTGAGTAATTAACGTGCTTCTTCATGCAAAACTATGATATGTTTTGCGTGTTTCTATGATATATATATGTTCCCTTATACCAACAGTTTGATTTGAATTCGAATTCCTTGCCTTATAGCTGGGAGTATCTATGCCATTCCATCTGTTGCAAATTGCTTGAGAAATAGTATTATCTAAAAAGGAAATATATATATATATATATATAAAAGGTTTTCCAAATTTTTTTTCTCTCCTTTTAGTATTGGATAATTGTTACACACACTGGAAAAGAGGAACTCTGAGGATTAACACGTCATGATCAATGGACAATAGTTCATTAGTGTCATAATGTACGTGCAAAACTCTTGGTCAAAGAAACAAAAGAAAACAAAAAAAAAAACGTGTAAGCCACAACCGTATCTTTGACAATTACATATAACATTTTCCTTGGGTAACTCAAACCCCTATAACTATGAAACAAGTTATCTCATTCTTTTAAGTTGCAACCTCAAAAAAATCAGGGGTTGTTCTTTTAAAGTGTAATTTGAGTGTAGTTTTTGAGTTGAATTTGAGTTATAACTTGAGTTGAAGTTATAACTTAAATAAAACTGAGTAAAGTTAAATAAAGTTAAAACTTAAAAAAACGTAAATTTAAATAAAGTTGAAACTCGAGTTGTCTTTTTTTGAGTTTTTCGGACAAAAGAACATGTTCTTAATTTTTGAAATTAAGGATAAAGTCAAACATAAGTTAGAAGTACGCATGTACGTGCTTATTTAAAACTAAAATACTAGTTTTTTTAGTACATGACCTTAATTAGTTTTGTATTAATTATTCAGGAAATGTCCAAAAAAATCATAGCCAAGACGTGCATAATGTAACCCCATTATCATTAGAAACGGGCAATCGTGCCGAAGCTGGTGTAAGCCATCTGAATTAGGGACCAAAACAAAAGAAGAACAAGACAAATGAAAAATGTGTTTTGTAACTATTGTCACAACTAATAATCAGTCAACACATGCCAAAAGCAATACGTAATTGGCGCAATCATATTCATAAGTGCCTACAAGAGATGCCACCTGTTTTCACGTGGGGTTCACTTCTCTAAAACATTATGCGTTTTTTGTTTTTTTGTTTTTTTTTTTTTTTTAATATGCTAAAAAGCATATGCCATAACAGATAGATACACAAGTATAGATTCATATTATCCGTTTAATTTGTGTTCAGACTAACTAATCACTTATTTTCATATCATTTAATGAATAAACATGAAAAAGTCAATTAAATAACATTTTAAAATAACGTGATACGACATAATTGGTAAAAATCATTTTACACCGAAAATTAAACAGACGATCTAAATTGCACAAGTACTAGTAGCATACGGTTCCGTCCCTATCCCGAGTTTTATATAAAGATCCAAATCTCAACTCTGTCTTCCCAATCTAGCAAATCTCAAAAGCTAATCTCCAAAAAACCAAATTTCATTCCCAACCAAACTCCCAAAAGGAATTTCCCTTTTCCCACAAGTTTCGAATCATTCTCATCCACAAATGCATCCCTCCAAGCGCAGCCAAAGATTCTTCAAGTTCCGTTGTAGCAGCAACCCCTCTTCATATTATTGCACCAAATTCTCTTCCTAAGAATTAAACCAATTTCAAGAATTTCCCAAACTGTCCCTACAACTATTTAGATTTTCCACTTTTTTTTGGGTCCATTATTGTTATTAATATTTCCGTTTATTTCCATCTTGTTTGAGAAATTAGAAAAGTCTACTTTAATTAACTAGACAAGAGAGATAGATGGTTGGCAAATACTACGAGGTGTGCTTGTCAAACGTCGTTGTGGTAGGAATGGCCTGGATTATGCTGAGGATTGATTACTCAAGACTCTTTTGGCTTCTCTTTGGCGTCTTTTCCTACGAAAACCACGAGGGAAAGCCTCGGATTTAATACCTACTTGGTTTTTTTTTTTTTTTTTTTTTTTTTTTCTTCTTCTATTTCTATAATTATCAATCATACCCTTCACGTTTAATCTCCTATATTTCTAGGCGATCAATCCTTTCAAGCTTTTTCTTTTTGATTAATATTCCACAAAAAGAGAGAGAGAGAGAGAGAGAATATTCTGAAGAATTCTCTCTCTCCAAAAAAGAAAGGAAAAAAGGAGAGACTTTGTGAGCGGTAGTACTAGCTTGGGGTTTAGTAGCGGCGAAACATGTACAAGAAGAAGCATTTTGGTGGAGATCAGTTTGCTGATGAAGCCCAAGAAAACTACAGTGCTTATGTTGAAACCGATCCCACCGGTCGATATGGTCGGGTAAGTACATTCATACATATATACATACCATATATATATGTACATATTGATATGTATATGCTTGTTGTAATATATGTATGATAAAGTTGAGTTGTTTGCTCTATGTAGCTTGGAATTTTCCATGGAAAAAAAAAATTATGTTTGGAATTTGATCATCTGGAAATGATATATCGAATGGCTATTGATTTCTATAGCGCACTTTTTGTCGTTGTAGACTTGTAGCTAGCTAAGATACAAAGCATCATCAAGTATCCAAGTTGAGAATATTATTGATGAAAAAACAAGAAAAAAAGTACTTGTAATTTTCATGTTATATAGTGTCTTATTTTAGAATATATATATATATATATATATATATATGGGTGGGCATCGCAGTGGGTGAAGTTTATAAAAACATATTATGTGTTTTATAATCTTTTGTTTCCTTTGACCATGTATTTCCCTTCTTTTTCTTTTTCCAACTACTAATTAGATCATCGGGTGAAATATTCTGGTCTTTTCTCTAATTTTGTTTTGTTTCTGCTTAATATTTTTCTATCTTCGGTTGTTTCCTTTTAGTTTTAACATTACAAAATAAATAAATAAACAAATAAAGAAAGAAAGAGATGCAGTAAAAAAAAAAAAAAAAATCATTTACGTAATTATTTGGTGGATTTTCTGATAATTTACCTTGCTAAAGCTCTATTATGATTTCCTTTTGGGTTACTGTGAATTAAAATTTGGCCAGGCACAGTAGTTGTCATCTGGTTGTTGGAAATATTATTTTCTAAACGTAATTATTGCCCATGACATGATTGGTGTTGTCATGTGATTATCCCAATACTTAATGATAAATTAATTCTTAATTTTGATTATTTATGCCATACTACTAAACCTATTTACTATGTCCACTCACCAAGAATATTTCTCATTCATTTTGGTATTGGTTGATCAATTTATTTTTTAATGCTATATTTATGAATACCCCACGAATTAAATATTAGCTCTATAAATGTGTATTATGAATAGATTGAAGAAGTTTTGGGGAAAGGGGCAATGAAAACAGTGTACAAGGCAATTGATGAGGTACTTGGGATGGAGGTGGCATGGAACCAAGTCAAGCTCAATGAAGTCCTTCGCTCGCCGGACGATTTGCAGCGCCTCTACTCGGAGGTTCACCTTCTCAGCACACTCAATCACGACTCCATCATGCGATTCCACACCTCCTGGATCAACGTTGATCGGAGAACTTTCAATTTCATCACTGAAATGTTTACTTCCGGGACTTTGAGAGAGTACGTAACATTTTTATTTTTATTTCCGGCCCTTAATTATTCCTAACGAGATCTAATTTAACTATTTAGCAATGTGCTATACATTGTGCTGTCATTTCAGATGATATTTTACATAGGGATCGTACAGTTTTATTTGAAATTATCAATAGCGATTCTGGCAGTATTTTAGAAATTCATAAATAAATAAATAAAAAGTTTCTCATATTGTCATACGTATTAATGATATGCATTTTTTAATGTAAGATTACATCACATTCTTATTAAATACAAATAATACAAAAACGGATTAAAAAAAATGCAGACTACAAGTACAAGTTTTTTTTTTGCTTCTATACTCACCAGTACCTATTTTAAAATCATTTAAGTTTTCCACAAATCAACTATTATAAAAGTATATAATGATCTTAATTAACAAATATTAATTAACATACATGTGCCACGTACATTGCAGATACAGAAAGAAATACAAGCAAGTGGACATACGGGCCATTAAGAACTGGGCTCGACAGATCCTAAAGGGCCTTGTTTATCTACATGGCCACGACCCTCCGGTGATTCACAGAGATCTCAAATGTGACAACATCTTTGTTAACGGCCATCTTGGGCAGGTCAAGATTGGTGATCTTGGCCTAGCCGCAATCCTCCGTGGTTCCCAATCTGCTCACAGTGTTATAGGTAACTAGCTTTTTTTTTTTTTTTCCATTGAATCGTTCTCTTTTACATTTTACAAATACGTCGTAACCTGTACAATTATAATGTTCGAAGTTTACAAGTTAAAATGCGTAAGTTATCATATTCATAGAATAATTTCAAAATTCTTCAACCAACACTATAAAAGTTTCTCAGTAAATGCATTATTAAAATGTACTAGTTCCTTTAATTGTAAATCACTTTTTAATTCTCTGCTTAATTGTAAATGTCTCAGGCACACCGGAATTTATGGCACCAGAGTTGTACGAGGAAGATTACAATGAACTAGTTGATGTGTATTCATTTGGGATGTGTGTTTTGGAGATGTTTACATCAGAATACCCCTACAGTGAATGTACCAACCCTGCACAAATTTACAAGAAAGTGACATCGGTAAGATAGAATGTTTTTAGGAAAAAAAAAACCATATATTTCCATGCAGCTCAATTTCAGCAATTGGATAGTAGAAAGAAACAATCTGACCAAAAAATTAAACGAATAGTTGACAGTTTTCCTTTCAGCAGCTGAGATCGCTTCTTTTCATCATTCGAATGTGTTTGTTTTCACCCACATTGCCATTTTCTCTCTTGTTTTCTCAGGGGAAGTTGCCAGCTGCATTCTACAGAATTCGAGACTTGGAAGCTCAGAGATTCATAGGGAAGTGCTTAGTCAATGCTTCAAAGAGACTGCCGGCGAGAGAGCTTTTGCTTGACCCTTTTCTTGCCTGTGATGAAGATGAGAATTCGGCTTTGCGAGGAGTTGGAAGTCAGAAGCCTTTCCTAAACGACAAGGAAATGGGGAAGTTGAGATTGAGGGATGATGTGCCCCGGACTGACATGAAAATCACAGGGAAGCTTAACCCTGAAGACGACACCATTTTTCTCAAAGTTCAATTTGCTGATAAGGATGGTATGTACTATATAGTTTAGACTTTCCTAACCAAATCCAATTTTTGTTTATTATTCAAATTTAGAGCATTATATTTTACATATAGTGTGAGGTTTATACTTCTCATTTTACTGATAAAAAATGAAAGATACACGCACACGTACCGAACCACTAGAATTAGTCCTAAATAGTTTAGAACCAATTTTTGATTATTATTCAAATTTATTTCATTATGCTATTTTTTTGACAGGTTCTCTTAGGAACATATATTTCCCATTTGACACTGTTACTGACACAGCAATTGATGTTGCCACTGAGATGGTGAAGGAATTGGAGATATCTGATTGGGAACCATTTGAAATAGCAGAAATGATCCAAGGGGAGATTTCTGCTCTCATACCACATTATGATACTTTTAATTATCAAGATGATGATGACGAAAATGATGGGACTCATCATCCTTTGTACTCTTTCTCATCCTCTTCTTCATCCCAAGCATCAATATCAGGCTTGATCACCTCACATGGGGTTGACAACATTGCAAATCCTTGTGATTGGCTCCAAGGTATGACTCCTTTTTTTTTTTCCACTTTACAAGTTGAATTATTTATTTATTCTGGGAGTCATTTCACAACTTGAATTCTCAGCTAGGTGTATTGGCATATATTTAAGACGACTTTTTTTTTTTTTTTTTGCTTCTTAGAATGAGAATAACATTAAGTTCTCATCGAAATGTTACCATCAAGTAAGGTGAGAGTTGATTTATTATGCTATAATTCGTATGGCTTCTTAGAATGAGAATAACATTAAGTTCTCATCGAAATGTTACCATCAAGTAAGGTGAGAGTTGATTTATTATGCTATAATTCGTATAAATATAATAGAATTAGTCTAACCAATTGAAAATTAACAAGTCAACTGTCATATAATTGAGCGTCGAAAATTAAGTTAGAGATTCCGTTGACTTAGTACATGCAACATGATTCCTTAGTATCTCTTAGTATGATCATATCATTTAACAAAGCTGGCGACAATATAGTTAGCCCAAAATGTGAATGCACTTTTTTTTGGGCTTTAAATGGCCCAAAACCAGAATTAATCCAAACCCCGAACGACCTCATGTCACACGCATTTACGAGCCATTCAACATCATGCATATCATGGAAAAACAATTTTATAATATACATCAATATAACATAATAGAGGTAAAAGAAAATTGGAGCCAAATAATAATTTCATGAATTTTACAGATTTCACAAATTGATAAATATGTTGATGATGTGTGATCTGTATAATTGCTCATAATCTATTATGAAGTAACCCCTAATTATTATATTATGCCTGCAATATTGCATAAGCCTCGTCTTAGAAATTTGGAATACAAATGTCAACAACTACAAAAAGAAAAATATTGCTCTTGCAGATGATTTGCTTGATGATATCAGCTCTGTAAGCTCTTCACACTCAGGAACCTATTCCAACTTGAATTACATTTCTGGAGATGATCAAAACGAGTCCAATATCAGCCCTGCAATAGGAGACAAAAACCCCAACATCAATTACAATACAAAGATTCACAACGTTACAAGATTTTGTCCCGAAGAGAGATACCGAAATATCAATTCAGGGCAATCCAACGAGCAATGCAAAGCTTTCATGTCATCTAGAGGTTCAAAGGACAAAAGGGTCGTCATGGACAGCCTTAGATTGAATAGGAACACGTCATTGGTGGACATACGGAGTCAGTTGCTACACCGGTCGTTGGTCGAGGAGGTTTACAAGAGGCGGTTGTTTAACACGATCGGAGCAGTCGAAAACATCGGGTTTCAATCACCTTATGATCAGGTGTCTAAGCAAAATGCTAGTGGTGGTGGTGGTGCCAATAAGAAAGCTTCAAGGAATGTAAAGGGTCATGAAGGAAATCCGCATAGAAGAGTTAATTAAGCTCTTATTTTGGATGAAAGTTTTTGTTTATTAAGAAGGATAGAGGACTCTGACATGCTCTAATCTATGGAGATCCAAGGAAACGGCTTTGATGGATGATTTTATATAGATTATGTTCTTCACTTGTGCAGAGTTTTAGGCACGATTGATTGTAAATATGTATCAGCTAGCACAATGTCACAATTTGAGAGCAGATCAAGGATCTTTAGGTTCTCAAAATGTCGTGATGCCTTATCTTGTGTAGTGCCCGCCATTGAATAGAAGGACATTATAGTATCCTTTTTCAACAAGCAGGGATCAATATATCATTAGCCAGAAGAAAAGATATATAAATAAATAAGTGCCGGGGCAAATATGTACATTTTGCGCTATAAAGCAACTAATAATCCAATAATATATCAACTATATTTTGTGTACTAGAATTCATTATAGGGTTTATCTTGCATGGTTCAAAAGGAAAAAAAAATCCAACACTATAATAGAAAAGTAAGAGGCGTAAAATATTATTTATTCTATATAACAATGACTTTAAAAGTTTTATACAAATAAATTATTGTCGTTATACTTTAATAAAGTCATTATTACGTCATCATGTTACACTCCCTACTTCTACATATTATATATAGAATCACTCCTCTGTGAAAGACTTTAACTTTGCCATTCATTATATCATTTTGTAATGTGAAACAAAATGCCTACTATGCATAAAAACGTTACGGCTCTTATGCTGCCAGGCTGCCAGTTATGAATGGTCACTTCTAACAATTTAAGAATTTTCAGCAAAAATATAAAAGTTAGAAATATCTACATATATCTATAATGATGGACTGAACAATGTACGTAGTTTGCTTTCAGTAAAGTCCTTGAGGATCATGTTTTGGTAATTGTGATTACATATGAGAATGCTTCTGGCCATGTTCACGTACGGCATCTGAATAGTTCTTTGATCCAGGAATTCCAGGGTGCACATGGGTCTGGTACGTGTTTTATATACCCTGCAAAACGTGGTACTACTTGGCTCTGGCCACGCTTCTCATTTCTCATCATCACCTTCGAAATCTCGTTACCAAGATTAATTGAAAAAAGGGTACCCAAAAAAGAAAAAAAAAAAACAGATTATGGGTCAACATTAGTACAAAATTAGGATCAGATTTTGGAACTTGTAATTAGTGGCTATGATGAGATATCGGAGAGAATTGGAAGGACCACCTTAAGTTTAATGAACTGTAGAGATTATAGTCCATAGCATGCGATGTCTAATACTTAATGTTTTATGTCATAATGTTTTGAGAGGAATTATTTGCTTTCCAGTTAAGAAGACATAACATATATGTACATATATATATATATATAGACACACACACACATATATACTATTTTATATATTAAACATGTTGGGTAGGACTTAGGAGTTAATTATCTAAGTGAGAAAGGACAGAGAGAAATGGCCTGGCTTGGGATGGACATTGAATTGAAGTCACTGGCTAGTTGGTGCTTGAAAGGAACAAGTCGTGAGGGGTATTTCCTGTAACGAAAAGAGACTCTTCAAGTATGAATGTTACGGATAACGTTCCCCAAAGAACATAATGGCTGGTTGGTTTAATGCGATGGGGATTTTCTTTTCCTGAATATCAGTGTGGTCCTTACTTGGGTTTACTCCCCAGGCCTAGTTATGTGATGATATGCAAAACATATATAAATATATTTATATAATCTTGTTCTTGTGGTCCTTAAAAGAGTCCTCTAAAGCCATCTATTTCCATGTGAAGATTACTGCTCATATTGTCCCTTTAAGAAAAAGCCTTAAACCACCCATGCCATGTCCCTAGCCACCATATATTTGCTCTCTCTCCCTTATTCATGATTCTTTTTTTTTTTTTTCGCTAATATATATAAATATATAAGGATTAATAATGTCTTATACGCCCCAATACAGTGCTAAAAATCTGCTAGGATCACTGGTGGAACGAAAAAGATAAATTTTCTAACTTTTGAGTAGAAGGGTCTCGCTATAACAAATAATGAGATTAAAAAAAAAGGTCTAAATTTCCTGTTCTATTTTGGTTCTCCAACCCTTAAGAACCTGGATTCCAATTTAGATTTTTGCACATCTTTAGCTTTCTTTCCTCTGTGGGGAATGATGCAGAAAGTCATACTAACATCCACCAGTTTTTTCTATTTCCTTTCTTTTCATGCCTTCACAGCTTTTGTACGTCACAACATTCACCTAACCAACTAAGTTCTGCTCCCTTCTAGTAACAGCAAAACATGAACTGCACATTTCAGCAATATATATATATATATATATACATACATACACACACACACACACACACATATATATATATATATTAGGTGTTGATAATCAATCAAGTAGTCATGTAGTTGATTTGATTGAGCAATACAGATCACGAAACACATTGCAAGTCTAAAAACAATTTGTTAATGAAGGAGACTTTAATTTTTTTTTTTATTCTTCATTAATATTAATTGGTTCAGTTTATTCTTAGTGTTAGGTACTAAAAAAACTCTCTTAACTAAAGATTATAGTCACTTCAGGTACTAGTCCCAAAAAAGTAATGTCATCTAGAGGGCAAACAAAAGTACGAAATCTGCCTAGAAACTCAACTATATTTTCACCCTTTTGGGCTATAGTGTGACTTGAAGAGCCTCAATATTTGCTAAGGTTCAGAATTTAACTTTGTTAGGGAAAAAAAAGCATTGATGAGCCAATATTATATAACCAAAGCAAGAACTAGGAACAAACTATCTTTGGGAAAACGTTGGTGGTCCTCTGGCATTCCGAAAAAGTACAGTGGAACAAAGCTACTGACTTTTCATTGGGATTTAAGTCGTCTTAGGCCGAAGTAAAGAACCATTTGTGGTATTTTTGTGATCTTTAGTCTTGTGCCCCCACACCAATAAATTACTACCCTTGACAATTCCTTTTCATCCCAATTTGTGCAGGATGCACACTTGCATGCAATAACACTCTTGATTGATGATTTAGGGGGAAAAGAAAAGTCAAGCTTTCTCGTAAGCCTGACCAAGATAGCAATGATTATTTGTTGTATCTAAAAGAAAATGTGCTAGATATCACTAGTTGTGGTGATATGTTTTAAATTATTGGGGCCGATACTTGTATGTGCGAATTGCCTTACAAATTGCTATGTAAAACTAAATGGAGAAATTGTGTTAGGTGGCCTTCTTAATCACCTATTTTAATAAATTGATTGAAAATTTTTTTATTTTACGAAATAGCCATTTTTTTTTACATGAGTCAATCATTGATGGACCAATGGACCATAATCAATCAATGATTGACCGATTTATTATCAATTTATCAATGGTTTATCGTTAATAAAAATGTAATTTTTTGATTGAAATTGATTAATTACTAATTAATTTTAGTTAATTATTAACTAATATTGATTAATAATATAGAATAATCAAGTTAATCAGTGATAAACTTGAGTCAATCAGTGATTGACCGCTGAGTCAATCAGTGATTGACCGCTGAATCAATCACTGATGGATCACTAAGTTAATGTAAACGGTCATTTTTACAATTTTTCAAAATTTCAACCATTTGTGAAAAACATCCTTCAAAAAAGTCATTTGTGTTGAAATCCCAACTAAATATGTAATTTCCTCTGTAATTATCCACGAGTCTCCTAATACTCTCATATTATAATCTATAAACTCGTAGTTGATAAGTGAACATGTGAATATATATATATATATATATACACATATATATATGCAGTTCATAAGAATTAAGAAGTCGTGGTGATCACAGAATGAACGTAGTATTCTTCTATTCCATTGGCTTTGTATCCACGTTTTTATTATGTATGGTTTTTAAAAGGCTTTGTATCCAAGTATTTGTTTTACATAAGAGTTATACTATTCGGTAGCTTCGAAATCAATCATTGTTGGGTAGTAAACAAAGAAGTTGTGTATCCAAAACTCTCTCTTTTAGCTGTCCTAGTATAAGGTCCCCAACCCCCCAAGATTCTAGATTGATCTCTTTTTCCTTAATCAATTTGGTTCCTTCCAAACAGAAGCTGACAAAAAACACTTCTCCATCAGGGAAGATAAAAACTAAAAACTGAAAGCTTTCTTGGATCATTGGATGTGCCTTGAGTATGTCCTTTTTAGCAAACACTTGCATTATAAAAATACTTAATTAAGGCTTGATTTGGTTTAGCACTTTCAAGGGATTGCTATTCAACTTTAAGAAATTACAAAATATAAAGAATAAAAACACTCAATTATTCTGAAAAAATCATCCCTTAATACCTTAAAAAAAAATTAAAAAAAAAACCATAAATATGAGTATATTGTATGCTTATGTTGTATGGATTAAAACATTCAACAACTTTATGGAATTGCAAAAACACTAAAATGTAGGCTACCAACTTAGATCCAAAACATAATTAAAAAAAAAAAAAACTAAAATGTGTTCCTATATCATCAAACTTGTGTTGAATGCCCCTAAAACAGTTCTGTTTATGATTTTCAGTGCAGGATTTTAAAAAGCGCCACTAAACTCTAGTTGATTCTTCATGATTCAGCCACCAAAAAAAAAAAAAATGATTCTTCTTCCCAGCCTAAAATTTGAGAGTCCGTTAATCAAGCATATGTGACTGCTTTATGTAGAAATATATTTGAACGTATAAAACCGAAATTAACTAACAAGTACTAAAAAAAAAAGACAAAAAAATACTAATTCAGATTATATGCATTTGATTAATATTATCTAACAAGTACACTATAGTTAATTTCAGACTGCAATATCAGCCATATCAAACCAGATTTGCTCAAAAGCCTTGACTATAACATCATGATACTCTTTGGAATTAAGCGAGAGATAACACGCCAAAAGCTCTTCCAAGTCCTTTGATGCTCTGATGTTATTCTCCACGATCATCTCCACCATTGAATCCCTGAAGTCTCTCTGCGGATCGACCGATGATTTGACCACCGCGAAGCTCTCCGATAGGTACTGTTTGTTCCTCGAAGAAACGCTCTTTCTCGCGTACGCCTGGATTTTCTTGCTCGCCAGTCTCGGAGAGTTCGTTCTCAGCCTTATGCCCGAAGAGCCACCACTAGAAGAAGATCTCCGAGCGGAATTAATAAGAAGGTTGTGCGTCATTTTGTGAGATTCCGAGCTTTTTGTTCTTGATTTTGACGATGATTTGTTCTTCATGGTTTTGAATACGGTATCGTCGAAGTTGATTGGCTTGGTTAGGATTGGAGGAAGGTCGATCATCTCCGAAACGACGTCGACAAACCTGTCGTCCGCCGCCGTCGTCTTGACTTTTTCGTCGTTTAAGTCGATGATGATGTCGGCGGTTGAAGAGCTGAGCCTGCAGTTGCAAGAGTTTGGCCATGAAGGAAGAGGGAAGTCCGATTCGGAGTCGAATTCGGAGGGAACGTTGAAAATGGAGTCTGGGAAATCAGTTTCGGAAGAAGAGCTCTCACTTGAGGAAAGAAACGACGTCGTCTGAGAGCTAACTATGGGCTTGAAAACCGGTGATTTTCTTCTCGATGTGGAGGTTCTTCTTAATTTGGTGGACTTTCTCGGGGGTATTTCGGGAAAACGGATTATGTCTGAGCGTGGTTTTGATGAGTGTTTGGGAGGTGGGAATTTGTAATCTGATCTGATGGGTGTCTCTGTTGTGAATTTCTGGGTTTTGTTGTTTGCGTGTTTTTGCTGAGAAATAGTCACTTGTGGTTTTGTGTTAGTGGGAATTGGGGTGAGTTTTTTCTTGGTGGTGTTTTTTTGATGCTTTGATCTGGTTTTGCTCATGTCTTTGAGCTTGTAAAACCAGGCGTTTGGTATCATATCTGAGAATTTGAACTTGTTGTTTCCCATCTCTGGTCTTTCTCTCCTCTTCTCTTTTTTTTTTGTGTGTGAGAGTGAGTTTGGTTTGTGTTTTTGTTATGGTTGTTGATGGCAGAGAGTTGAATATATTTGGAGTTGGAGAGTAAAGATAAATCATAAAACCAACTAGTGAAAGAAAGAGCAAATAAAATAGTATTTTTCTTTCTTTTTTGTTTTATAAAATTCCAAAGATAGAGATTGGATCACTCGCTGTTAGGCATGAAAACAAAAGGGAACAAACAATCGTCTAATAAATGACTTTTGCTCCATCATTGCCACCAGCAAAAACAGCACCAAGGAAACTTTTTTTTTTTTTTTTTTTTAATATCTGTTTATATTAATGTGTGTATGTATATATAAAAATGAATTTTGATTAAAGAAAAACAAAGGCCATGCAATGCAATTCTAATTCTTTCATGTGCCTTAAACAAGGAATATGTTGCTCTAGGGGTTAACAATTTCTTCACTAGATTTGGTTATTTGATTTGATTATATAAAGCAGCAATATTGAGCAAACACATAATGATGAATTTAGTAACAAAGAAGACCCATTTGTCAAGCAAGTGCTGTATTTTCTAATAATTCCACTTCCATGCTTGAGAAATGATGATTTTTGGTTGCCCTGCCTTTTTCTTTTCCAATTGCTTGATATCTAATAGGCCCCACATGCCTGGTACAGAAGAGAAGACACACTTTTTTTTTTAATTTTTTTTTTTTTTTCCTGGTCCATGAAAAAGCTCTTGCTAGAACGCAAAGCTGGCAAGGCGTGGACGCCAACCATCTCAGAATATCAGCAGGTCTTTTGAGTTGTTGTCTTTAGCTGAAAATGAGCTGAAAAGAGTAAACACAACGCAGGTTTCTTGTGTAAAACACAAAGTTAGCTCAACGCTTTGGAGCTAATATTTGATTACTCGCTCTTAAAATTGCTTAAAAATATATATTTTAGGAACCTTCTTTAGTAGACGGTGCACGTTGGTCAAAATAATATCAAATTGAAAAAAATACGTGAAATTGATAAAAATCTAATGAGGTTCAACCTTTTAAGATAATGCTCTATTAGGGGGATGTTTTTTTTTTTTAAATCCTTTAAAGAAAAACAGGTGATCAACTAAATTTTAGTTTGCATTTTGGTTCTCTTTTGAGGTTCCCTATTACTTTATTGAACTTTTTTTTGTCACCCTTTTTGCCATGAAGCAATGACACGCACTAACCTTTACTAATTTTTTTTTATTCAAATTAATTATTAAATCACATATCATTCTCATAACATAATGTAATTTTTAGCTGAAAAGCATTGATAATAATCATGTAGTATAATATTTAGCTTTTTTCACCCAACAAAAATACAAGTAATTAAGCAAACAAATGAGATCATAAATGCTTGTTGATAGAGGGAAACCCCCGGTTCTAATGTGTGTTATTTTTTTAATAAAAATTTAAATTTTAAATTTGTGAACTAAACGAACATTAGATGTTGAGAATACTATAAAAATTAACCTCAAATTCACGTCCTCGCACCATACAGTGTCTGGATATATAGGATTCTAATATATTAAATATATGACTTCTTGTACATAACATCAATGTTGGAGAGAAATAATGTCAAAAAATTTAATCTATGTTATTTCTATCGACATCAATATTATGTTTAATAATTGTGATGTTGCGTTATTATACAGTATCCCAAAAAGATGGAAGAAAAAGCCATTAAATTCACGTAAGAGTAATCGAGTGCCTTGTAGTATGTTTATGAAAAGCCACCTTCTAATCTCATGGCATTTACAAAATAAAAAAAAAATAAAAAAAAGAAAAGAAAAGGGAGGGGGGGGAGTAATACAAATCCTGTCCGCTATATTGTATAGCAGACAGCTAGCTGAGAGCAGTCTGAATTAGAACTGTAGAATAGAATAGCCCTAGCCCAATATCAATTTTGTCTCACTTCACGTCATTGTTATTGTTATTATTGTTATTCTGTTCTAGAATGTCTCACTTCACTTTAGAGTAGGATCTTTACGGTTAAAAATAGGATTATAGGAACCACACATAACATATCAACTTTTGAAAAATTCAGCTAAACCCCACTTCGATTTTGCTTTGGGTCAACCGCCTTAACACAAAAATTCAAGAATGTTGTGTTCGGTTACGAGGAAACGGGTGATTAGTGCATAATCAAAACCTTTTCGCTTCTCAAGATTTTTCAGTTCCTCTTGGCTCGGGTTGTGATACAAGGCCGTTCGTACTGTCTAATCAAATAGTCGTGGACACAAAAAAAAGCCATAAGAAAAGACCCGACGTTGACGATAATGTGGGGAGTAAATGCAGTCCGTTTCAACTCTCCTCCGTTTCAACTCAAGTTTTCATTTATACAAATTGTAATTAATTTGGTTAATGTTAAATTTAACTCCACAACATGGAGGTTGTTTCACTTTAAATCGGAGCATAACCACTCTTGAGACTTGAGAGTATCATTCATAAGTCACACTTTTGATATAAAGATCCCGTTCTTTTCACTAATTCGAGTTTAGAATTTAAGCTTGACTACAGTAAAAAGCTCTCAGAAACAGTTACATTTAATTTTTTTACCACAGTAAAAAACTCTCACACAATATCACATCTCAACTCGAATTAAAAATTCAAATTAGCGAACCGAATGGGCCCTTGTCACTGAGAGATCAACTTTTTTATGGTTTTAATCACGTATACTCATCAAGTGACCTACGCACGATCAAGAGTGTTTAAAAATTATTCTTATCCACCAATCACGTGACTCGCATGTAATTAAAATAGTTAAAAACTTGCCATCTCGAAGTTGTGAACTCACAATAAATTTGTGATAGTTTTGTTTCATTTCTAATTTTAATTTTAAGTAGCAAATAAGACCACTTATTTTTATGAAATAATCGATAATATAATGTTGTTATACACAGTTTGAAACATTTTTTTTTGTTTTCTTCACTGAGCTTTCTATGTTAGAAAATACCTATCCTTAATAAATGTTGTTATTCCATACTTTATTGTAGATTTCTTTTTCTCATAGGGATGTTGAGGAAATTTTTTTTATAAAGATTTTTGTTATTGGCATGTTTTTTTTCAACAGGTGTCAGAGAGAAGAAAGGGACGTGAATTAGCAAATCCGACCAGGAACATATTTGCGAAGTACAATATTAGACCAAAGGACGTGGTTCCGCAAAGTATCATATCAATCTTCCACAGATATTTTTTTCCACTTTTTTATTTTTTTTAGTATAGGAAAAACTTCTATGGAATGTATTAAATTTCAGCCCACCCCTATCATGTAACCAAACTTAGTAATAGATTTTCTAATAATCTTATTAACCACGGTCACTTTTCCAATAATATTATTCTTACTTATTACCGCTGGTCAAACACCCTTAAAATATTTGGGGGAATACCCCTCACAAATATTTCAACAATTTAGTACAAATGGTCATTTTGAAGGATTTTTTTTCATAAATAATCGAAGTTTTGTAAAATTATAAAATAACCATTTTTATTAACTTATCAATCAATTACTAATTAATTTAGCAGTCTACCACTAATTAATTTTAATTTATCACTGATTAACTCAATAATTGTTCACTACTAATCAATATCAATTGATAATAACCAAAATCAATTAATTATTAGTCAATTTCAATTAATAATTATACGTTATTAATAGTCATTAATAAATTATGAATTTATGAGTCAATAGTTATGGGTCAATCACTTTTTGACTCCTTGAAAAATGGTCATTTTCGTTAAATAAAAAAAAAAACCTTGGCCATTTATAAAGAAATGTGGTAAAAAAGGTCATTTAGCTAATTTTCCTTTCAAATATTGTAATATTTTTGTTATTTTTCTCGCTATATGAGCCAGCACTCAATTTTAATAAAAGATTACAAAGCTAATCGGTAAGTTAAGGGGGAATTTTTTTTCCCAATTTTCTCTACTTTAAAATTAACTACGATTCTATTTTATTATAAAATTGTCTAAAATCATGTATATAATGACATTGCTACCCCTAATTTCAATCTTCTAAAAATTGCAAATGTTCACCGTAATCAACAAAAATCAAACAAGAAAAACTCTACGATAATCAACGGGAGCATAGAAATTGCGACTTCATGATATTGAAACAAGATTAAAAATTTAAAAAGATCAATAACGTTTGTGTACAATATGTAAATGTGGTCATTATCGTAAAGATTGTAACTTTATGATGATGATCGGTATTAGAATATATAAAAAGAAAAAAATGCCCAACAAATTTTTTTTTTAAAAGAATAAACAGAATCATAATGTTGTAAAAAAACACTTTTAATTATTAAAAAATAGATGTAATTACTATGAGGGAAAATCTGTTAAGAGAAAATTACAGACTTTATCTCCAAAAGTATAATGTTCAAGATTTCTACCTTTTTTTATTAATATCTTTTTAACTGATATAATATTTTAATTAAAGAGTATTAATTAAGGTTAAGGAGTAAAGATTTAAAACCGTGAGGTATGTGTCTCCTTTATCTCAACGGTGAGCTAGGTCCATACCCTTAGTCTCTCTGACTTCAACAGGCCCAGTCTATAAAGATAGAATACTGAGCCCATTACAGAAGGTCTAAAAGGCCCACTCCAGCTTGAGTGGTTCGTTGGTCAAACAACTGAAAAGGAGGCTTTTCCAAAAAAAAAAAAAAAAAAAAAAAAAAAAAAAAAGGAAAATAGTAGAAAATAGACCAATATAAAAACTTTAAGAAAGTATATAAACTAATTTTTAGTTATAGAAATTAATAGGCCATAACTTGTTAAGTTATGATTCATAACCAGATAAGTTATGGACAAACTTATCAAGTTATGGTTCATAGCCAGACAAGTTATGGACAAAAACTGTGATTTATGGATAATAATTTGTCAAGTTATAGTTCATAACCAAACAAGTTATGGACGAAAACAGTAATTTGGCCTATTTATTAACTTATATAAACTATTAGCCTATTAATTTTAATTCATCTCAAGTCTTGACCTATTTCTCTCTTTCTCTCAAAAAAAAAAAAAAAAAAAAAAAAACCGCATACAGAAAATTTGTTATGTTTTCATTATTATTTATTGGCTTGTACTTTGAAGAGCCATAGAGTAGAGAACCTGAATTATTAGTTCCATCCAAGCAACCGCTGACCTGAACAAAAACTATATAAATTCTACACCTGATTTTTTTTTTTTTTTGGTTTTAAAAATAAATACAATTTCTATAGCCTGCAGCCTGCAAAACCTTCTATAAAATTAGCTAAAAGTAATAATTTAAAGGAGGATTGAAAATTTACCAATACCCCGTCATGGTAGTTTGGTTAGTTTAGAATGTATTATCGATACGAATTTTGGAATTACTTTAACACAATAACACCCTCTTGCTTGTACAAATCTAGGTGTTGTGATTCAATTGTTTTGGTCCGCTTTAATTGAGGACTCAATTTCTTCTTCTCAATCTTAGGTCATGTTGTGGTTTCAAGCGCTGCTTATCGGTAATTTCATATTCAAGTCTCCACCCTCAAATTTAAAAAAAAAAAAACAAAAGAAAAAAGTCATGTAGCAGCACCCCTTTTGAAGTCAATAAGGCTAGGCTTTTTTGCCAAGGCAAGGAAGCCATGACACCAGCAACTAATCACGAATCTCTCCAAATATATATATATATATATATATATATATATATACATTCATGGTACGCCACTTTATGAAGACGTGATTAGCACCCAAATCCCAATTATGCCTTTTCTTCATAGAATTCAAAGCACAAACTCCTCTCCTTTTATACACATCTCTCTCTCTCTCTCTCTTTCCTGTTGCACCAACACTGAAGAAACCACCACTTCTTCCAAAGAAAACAAAAAGGCAACAAAGTTACCAACATTCTGTTCTCTTCCTTCAATTCCACTCTCCTTACCAATCATTAGATATGAAAGTGAAGGCATTAACTTCCTTCAAATCCAAGATTCTCAAACCATGCAGAAGATTACTCCCCGCTTTCAAATTCAAACTCAAGAAACCTATCTTTATAAGATCTCTTCAACTTCGTCCTCACAACAACAGCAAGAAGATCACAAAGCCTACGAAAAATCGAATCACTTCATTGTTTTCAGCTCTACGTTTTCGCAGGAAGACGAGCGAGATGGACAGATTAGTGCAGCTGAAGAGTTTCTCTGAGACAAGTGGCGGTGAAGGAATGCTCTTTCCGTCGCCTCTAACGCCTGCTTACGTTAAGATTAACAAGGCTGATAAAAGGGAAGCTTATTCGGGTCTTGAGGACGTGGAAGACGCCTGCAGGAGTTTTGAGAACTACTTGGTGGAGATGATCGTTGAAGAAGGGAAGTTAAGGGACTTAATGGATGTAGAAGAGCTTCTCTATTATTGGAAGAACCTAAAGTGTCCTGTTTTCATTGATTTGGTAAGTAGATTCTATGGTGAGCTGTGCAAGGACTTGTTTTCCACTGAGACAGATGGAGTTGATAGTCGCTAGTGATTCTGCAATTGAACCTTTTAGTTGCAAAGAACTTTGTAGCAAAATCAGTGACTCATTTCCTCAGCCTTTCCCGCAACTTTTCCTTTAAATACTTTTGTGTATTAGATATGAAACAAAAAATAACTTTCATGATAAAAGTTCTTTGTAAAAGTCAGAAAAGAATGAAGATAAAAGTTGACATTCAATTTATGTTCTTTTTCTTCTTGTTGGAGTAAGTTTTACGATTTCTCCTTTAAGTATATCACTTGTATCAGCATGCCCCCAACCTTTAAAACGTACTTACTGCATCCCATGATTTATAACATATCTCCAGATTCACTCTCAAACTTTGAAATGTGCTATTTTTTAGACAGAATCAGGGACATGTCGATATAAGTGACATAATTCAGGGGAATTCGTGAAGCTTATCTCCTATTTTAAGTACCCGTTGGCAAAGAAGACAACAAGTTGGCTTGTTCCATGATCGGTACAATCTTATAATGAATAAGACTACACCCAACCTAATAGAAACAGAACAAAAACTAGAATAGATTGCAAATGCCACTAGTAACTAGATATATATTTACAGTTCAGAACAGAGATTAACAGTTCCTTGCAGTCCAAAATCTTTAGATTTGTCAAAATAAATAAATAAAACTGACAATTGGAAAGTACAAACTATCAGCTTAGAGAATTAATTCCAAAGGTCCTCAACAGGCTGTAGTTTGAAAAGCTCCAATAACAGTTCTAAGTAGCTAGAGCTAAGTATTAACATCTTCAAAACAGGAGACAATTAGGTTCTGCTAAATTACCAGTTAGTTTTAGCACCTTCATCTAGTATTTACCATTTGATGATTCCATAAATTTGGAAACATAAACCCTGGACTTCACCAATGTCTCTCCAATCTTAAAACCAGGCATTACCATAAACTCAACTCTCTGCTTGAGTTGGCCTTGAACCGAACCATTTTCGCATTCCTTGTCGTCCTCCACGGATTCCATATAAGCATCTGAGAAGTCACTGCCTCCTTTGACAGTAAAAGCTTTTGCTTTGGGATCTAATGAGCCTGCAATGCCTTGTAACACCCAAACCCACTTTGCCATTCTGGCAAATATCTGGTAGAATAGTGTCCTCGGATGCTTTCCGCTCGACACAAATGTCCTGTGATCCAGGTTTCCAAAGAATGACGCTTCCATCATTGGATGAACAACCAATAGGTACTTCTCCGCACAGAATTTTGAAAAATTTGATTTGGGATCCTCGATCAAAGCATCAATCGGGTCGTCAAACCTCCTTACATAATCAGCATCACATTTTTTCAATGACATCCCAGTAAACATTCTCCTTGCAATGTAGGCTTCAAATGCATACTTCTTGTGAGACCTTCTTGAGTAAACAGCTTCCCCTTCAATAGACTTTGCTGCCAGATCTAAATCCCAACCAGAAGCTTTCATCAAGCTAATCAATGGCTTTCCGAAATCATGTATTGACTTTGAAGCAGCCGTGAAAGCTTTCTGGAAACCACCTATGTTCAAAAAAATTTCAAACTTCCTTTCCAAACTTTTCTGCTTAATCTTCTCAGTAAGTTTGGCATTTCCCACATCCAATTCCTTGAGCTCTTCCACCAACCATGTGACCTCAGAGTTTTTAGCTTTCACTTTAGACTTCAATTCTTCGAGCAGCCTCTCCTGTACTTCGGTTTTCACCTGCAGGAGAGCAAGGCGAGTGGAATCCGACTTCAACTTCCCGAATTGCTTCTCCTTGTAGGCACGCTTGATCTTGAAGAGTGCTTCGAGCTCAGCCATAACAAGCTCATCTGCGGCTGCAATCATTTTCGGATTATAGGGAATGTGAGCTTCCTGAAGCTTAACATAAGCCAATTTCAGAGCTGAAACAACATCGAACAACTTCACTATTTCTGCGTCTCCACACACATTGCCCTCGCTTTTCGGTTCACTGGGCTGGGGATGCACCTTCACACCGTCGCATTCTGCCTCCTCTGTCGTGGCATCGCTGCTTTCCTCAACAACCGCGCCATTGCTTTCAGAGGGAAACACACCAGTGGATCTCAACTTGCAGACCTTGGCAAACTTGGAGACTATTTCAGATATGTTTGAGGAGGACTTAAAGGGTTTAGTGGTGACAATTTCCATTCTTTATAGAATGATCTAAAATCCTGGAAAGAGAAAAGGCTGATAATAGCAGATCTGGTAACAAACAAGACTTTGGCTTCCACAAAGAGTAATTTTCTAGAAAATTACAAAAGTTGGCTCAAAATGGGCAAAGCATTATTTGCATCCATGGAAGAAGAGAATAAAACGGAGATTCCCGGCAGTGAACTGGCCCTGTTATAAAGAAATGAAAAAGGTTTTGTAAATTAGGAACTACTTGGAAGCATTAAACACTTAACATAACTTACATCATTTGAACTTATAAAATTTCAAAAAAAAAGAGTGCAAATAGTGGGGAAAAAACCCACATTTACGAAATCTACAGCACAAAGATTCAAACTTGAACTTCAAAAGGGTCAAGCATAAAAACCCCACAACCAAGTCAAACACTAACACCCAATAAATCTCTATGTGCAGTCTAAAATACAGGAAAAAGAGAGGAAAGAAAAAACACAAGTGAAAACCATTAACAAAACAAGAAACAGCAAAAACCAAAAGAAACCCTTCTGGGCATTTTCTATCTGGGGTATCAACAACAATGACACTCTTATTAGTTCTACTGAAATCTTACGCGATAAAGAAGAGGCCTCTTGAGAGCTAAAGAGAGTGTTAGCGCCAGCTTTACGACGACGTTTCAGGAGCTATGAGTGCTGTGACTGTCTCATAGCTGATGGTTTTCTGGAGTTCAGAGTTTACTTGTTGAAGAACTGTGTTTTTTTTTTTTTTGCTTCCAAAATAATTGGTCTTCGGAAATAATTAAAAGAAAGGAACAGTTTGGATTTGAAACTGTAACTTTTTTACGTTTTTTTTTTAGAATCAACTTTTTTACGTTTAAATCTTGTTATTTTAATAGAAAGGAACAGTTTGGATTTGAAACTGTAACTTTTTTACGTTTTTTTTTTTAGAATCAACTTTTTTACGTTTAAATCTTGTTATTTTAATAATAATGCTTGAGCAGTCTCGGCGTTTGAGACAAAATTTGGACATTATTTTTACTTGAAAAATGGACCGCGAATCTCTACACATTTCTACATTTCTTTTTTTTTGTTCTCTCTCTGTCTCCGCCTTCCTTTCCTTTTAAAAAGTCTGAAAATACAAAACTCTTTTTGTAAGATAAGTATTTTTTTTAAAGCTTTATGAATGAGGCCTTTTTTAAAACTTGGATAGGACTTAGGAGAATTTGAACCTTATATTTCATGATGGAATCACATATGAATTTACTATTAAGTTATATGAAACTTGTGTAAAGAAAATCGTATCATATATTATAAAAATTATGAATCAATAAGATTTAGTTTTTAATTATCTGAAATCTGAATTTCATTATATATTTTTTTGAAGGGGAATTTCATTATATTTTAATGTGGTATGATTATGATATAATATTATAATATAATAAGTTAACACATTTTATTCTATTAGCATATTTTTCTAACGCAACTATAAAATTCTCTATTTTATCAATATTAATTGAAGTAATACAATTTTTTTGAAAGGGAATTAACGAAACACACTTGAGTATATCCCGTCACTCAAAAAAAAACTTGTAAATTTTCAGGTAAGAGCATAAAAATAAGGGACATGTTTGTTTCTGTTTCCATTTTCATTTTTCACGTTTTTCAAAGTAAAAAATTAAAAACGGGTTTTAAAAACGCGTTTGGTGCAAGTTTTTTTAAAAAACAAAAACAAAATCATTTTTGTCGTTTTGTGGAAATTAAAAAATGAAAAAAAAGCTGTTTTCATTTTCTCCATTTTCATTTTCATTTTCCTTTTCTCTCTTGTTTTCTCTTCAGCCTCCCCCGACTGCCCC